AGAGTCCTTGGACTTGTTAGGCTTAAGGTGCGGATGAAGAATCCAGCATTTCTCCTTGGAGTGACCTTTCTTCTTACAGTGGTCACGCACCCAAGACTTTCTTTCCTCTGGCTTGAACACCCTTTTGTTGGCTGAGATGAGCTCTCCTTTCTTGAAAAGACCGATAGAACCCTGCTCCTTTTGGATCCTGGCACAAACATCTTCGAGACTTGGGAGCTTGTCATCTCTCAAAATGTGTTTGATGAGGTCATTAAAGATGTGATTCAGGGTGAGGAGAAGCCCAAACACCTTGTCTTACTCACGTCTCATTGAGGATCTTGGGATCCAAAGTGCTCGGCCTCAACATTTCTAGTTCATCCCACAAAGATCTGAACTTTCCAAAGTGTTTTGTGAATTCCATGTCTTCCTGACTCAGGTCGTTGATGGCTTTCTTGACTTCCAAGACTCTGCTCATGTTTGTATCATTTCCGAACACATTCTCGAGAGTTTCCAAAGAGACTTAGCTGTCTCACAGTAAGAGTAAGCTTCAAGGATCGTCGGCTCAACGGAGTTTTGAATGAGACCAAGAACATTTTGGTCTTCTTGAAACCACTTAGCTTCTTCAGCCTTGGCTTCTTCACTCTTTGCATCGCCTTTGGTGTCTCCTTCTTCTGGTGTTTTGTCCTCTAAAACATGATTCCAGAGACCGCGACCACACAAGACAGTCTTTGGGTTCTTGCCCACAAAAGATAGTTTCCTCCTTTGGGGATAACTGGAATGACTATCGGCTTAGAGTTCTCAGTAGCTAGAGTGCTTGAACTCATCTTTGATTTTTAAGAAACGAAAAGAGATGGAGAGAATATTATGAAGATTCAAATGAAGATTAAAAACAGAGAATAAGCAAGAATAGAGAATGCGAAGATTTAAGAAGTGTTTAGAAAATTTTAGAGAATAAAGAGAATATAGATTAGTGATTAAACGCTCAAGATATGAGCTCTGATACTATGTTGAAATTTATTAATGGGGAATAAAGAGATTAATTAAGAGAGAAATGAAGAACTAATAATTAAGAAGAATAAGTCTCAAGTCTGTATATTGATTAATTCTCGGACAACAACATTTATTGAGAGACAAAAGATATACACTAGGTTTAGACTCTATAACAAGACAAAAACAATTAGGTAGACACAAGGAATCACGTGTGGAGATAAGGAGAGAGTATGTGTGCTGAGGGTGATAGTGACAGCTCATAACGGTTATATTCACCATGAGCCGCGTCTTGGAGAGGAGGGGACCACTGTACGGACTCCTCAATATTTCACCGAGTTTCTGGAATCTCTCTTGGGCTCTATACAATGTTCTTGGCCTTTATTTTCATTTTAGCCTAATGTAAACACACCTTGGCACATATTTGATCAATATTTTTGAGGAGTTCACCTCGATCAACGTCACAGAGCTTAAGCACAGATATTTTTGAGAAGCACAGATACGATTTTATCACCGATCCTAAGGAGAGTAAAGTCAGAAATTGGGAGGCGAAATTCTTTTTTGTGATGATTGAGCCGGCCTCAGTTACTCAATGTCAAACTGACTGGAACTAGAATTTCCGTAGTTATAATATTTTTGAAGTCTTTTCCTTAAGTCGGCTCTCCTAACCAATTTTTTTCATTTTGTAGTCCTGGCAGGTCGGCAGAGTTTGATATGTCTATATTTTACATCATTTAGATTGCATTATAGAGTCCTCATCATGTGTTTTCTCATGTAAATTGAGTCTTTAGGCGTTAAAATAGGACTTAGGGCTTGCATTAGGTCCCAAAGAGTTTTGCATGTTTTGAAGTCTTTATCAGGAGCTTTGGAGACCAATTGGAGCCTAAGAAGAGGAACAGAAAAGAAAACGGTGAAGAAAAGGGTCAAAATTGGTGAAAACCGCTTGGAGGAATTTCTCGGCCAAATCTCGTATCGGCTGGTCGGAAACCTCGGCCAAAATGTTTACCGGACGCTCATTACCGGCCAAAAACCTTACCGATCGGCCAGAATCGAGTATCGAGTGCAAAAATACCACGGGACAAGTTTTTGACCGAGGCAAGAATTTTTACGACCAAAAAGCTTACCGCGGTACACAGCCCTCAGCCATTTTTCTTACCGCGGGAAGGTTTTTACGACCAAAAGTTGTCCTTGCCCGCGCAATTCAGAGATCAGCAATCCGGGGAACCTTCCTGTCCGAATCAGTTGGCGGGGTCTTCACCAAAGTTGGAGATAATAAAGCATAGATTCCAGAACAGTTGGAATCATCCAATTCGGACCAGTGGAGAGAAAGATATGGCTTCCGGAGCATTCACCAGCATTGCGCGTACCCGAGAACTGAACGGCGAACTTCAAAGATCAGTGCGGACGGAGCCCCTCCAGACCAAACAAGCTTATCCGGTCTTCACCAAAGTTCGAGATCCATGGAAGATCTTCTCAGAGCATTTGAAATCGCTCAATTCGGAGCAAAGGTTTGGAAGATAGGGTCTCCGGAGTTCACATCGGTCTAAAAGTCTATTTTCCGGTGATTTCAATGCGGCGCAAAGATGTTAAATCCAGGAAGCCTTCCACTCCCCAAGCTCCGATGGTTTCTTCACCAAAGTTCGAGCTTATTGAGTCATCTTGACTGTGGAACTGGTCCCAGAGCAATTAGAGTCGTGTGTTGAAAGTTACTGCTTCCGGAAGGTGACATGGTTGATACAAGCCTAAAAGAGTTGCGATACGCGCTAAGTATTTTCACAAGCCTCGGTATCTTTACCTTGGCGTCACTCAAGTCGAGGCTCATATCTTGGAAGTATTCTGGAATAGACCTCGTGCCAAAGCCTTGGCATGGTTAGATCGAGGCATGCATACGTAAGAACTGAAGCTGGAAACGACTAAGTGTTGAAAGTACACCTCGGTGTAATGACCTCGGCGTGCATGCCGGACTGTGTTCTCCCAAGCACCTCGACATCATGACCCCTCGACATTTTATCCCGAGGTCCCTTGTCACGAACCCAGAATCAAGAACAGAATGGCTCAAGAACATACACGTGAGGATAGATCAAAGACTAGGGTTCATGCATGTTCTTGACGTGTTCTTCACGAGATCTTCATCAGGATCCTGACTCATGTGCACACCTCGGTATGAAGACCTCGGCTTCACTTTCCGACACACCGTGGCACTCACCCATCAACCCAAGAAGGCGGTTCAGTACCCGGTTTGTTCCGGGCTGACCCGTGACACTTTCCCTTTGCTATAAATACATTTTGAGACTAAAAACCTAGTTATCTTATCTCTTATCTGTTTTTAGCTCTAAGAACTTGCCTCTTTTGTGAAACTTGATTAATCTAATCCGATATCTCGTTTTTGCATCAGAATCATGTTCTTTCTTTATTTCTTTTATCATCCAACATCAAACTCCTTATCATGACTAGCTACACGTCTTGCAAAGGACTTAGTGAGCTCGTTATGATCAGTGAGTAGTCGTTTAAGCGGCTTTAGATAGGTAGATTAGGGTGCTTTCAAGGTGGATTAATGGGTTTAGGTGTCTAGTCTTGCATGTTTCATTCCTTAACCGACGAGATCTCTAAGCTGGATCCAAGCACATCACTTGAGGTTCAGATCTGAGACATATCTCGCATCAGAAATGTTTGTAGAAATGTCTGAACCACTCGGTTAAGGGTTTAAGAGTCTTTCATCGCGAGAGTGATATTTTGTTCTCTTAAATGACGTTTTTGAACCGATTCTTATTGCTGACTGATTCGTGCTTCTCAAAAGGGATTTTGGTATGAAAGAGGATCAGTTTAGACGTTTAATACTTTCATGAGAGATGAACGTGCCTTGAGTTCAAAGTCAAATGAAATCGCTTGATAAAATGATTCATTAGCCCCTTAGTCTAACTTGGAAGCACCCGAGTCAAATATCCTGTCTAAAGCTTCTGCCTTTATCATTCATTACCATCATCTGAATCACCTGTTTGTTATTTGCATCTTGATTAGTTTAAATCTCTGCTTTTATATAACTTTATTGCTCATTTGCCTGTTAATCATCGTCACCAAACTTTTATCATCTTGTCTTGACTTAAGTGAACAAATGACATAGGCTAGTGTCTCGTTTACAAGCTTGGTTTGACACCCCTTATACTACTTTGACAAGGGGATTGATAACCCTTCTAAGAGCCTGAAAACTCTTAGTTATCAATTGGCGCCGTTGCCAACTTGTAGGAGCATTAGTCTCTTGTTTGTTCTTGAGTTCAAGCTTTTCTTTCCTTTGTTTTACTAACTTCTTTCCAAGTTCTTGTTTTGTTTTCAGGTGCATGAATACCAGGTCTCGGAGCACAGGATCGCTTTTCCCATACGACGATAACATCGACAGATTAGAAAGGCGAGCTCGCGAGAGAGAACGGCACTTTGACAGACTTGGAATGGCAGAACAACAGAGAATGGAGCAACAGGCTCAGGCAGCCGAGCACCAGGCTCAGGCTAATCAGGCGCAGGCAGGAAGAAATGAACAACAAGCCTATGTTAATCAGCAACAGGCTCAAAGAAACAAACGGCTTGCTCAGCAAAACCAACACCAAGCGAATAGAAATGAACAACAAGCCCATCATGTTCATCCGCCACCGCCCCAAGTTCAGAGACAACATCCTCCAATCTGTGTTGGAGAGAATGACCGAGCTAATGCGCACCAATACCGAGCTGGGATTCAAGCTCCACCAGTTCAAAACAACAACTTTGAAGTTAAAGCTTCCCTGCTCAATATGGTGCAAAACTCAAAGTTCCACGGTCTGGCTGGAGAAGACCCTCTCGAGCATCTAGATCAATTTGATCAGGTTTGCGACTTAACCAAGATAAACGGCGTCTCCGAAGATAGCTTCAAGCTACGCTTGTTCCCTTTCAGCCTCGGTGATAAAGCACACCAGTGGGAAAAGAATATACCGAGGGGTTCTATACAAACCTGGGAGCAGTGTAAACTAGCGTTCTTATCAAAGTTCTTTTCCACATCACGCACGACTAAGCTCAGGAATCAGATCTCAAGTTTCACGCAGCACAATAACGAGAGCTTTAGTGAAGCTTGGGAACGGTTTAGAAGCTACACTAACCATTGCCCACACCACGGCTTCTCAGAGGAATCCCTCTTGAGTACTTTATACCGAGGTGCACTCCCCAAGATCAGAAACCAACTCGATACAGCTTCAAATGGGAATTTTCTTGGAAAAGAGATCACTGCGGCAATGGAACTAGTTGAGAACCTAGCCATGTCCAATGACACGTATGGAGAGGACTTTGATAGAACAAACCGTACAGAGGGATCTAGTGATGAACAGCGCATGAAAAAGGATATAAGAGAGCTTCAGAGTAAGCTTGACAAGGTTTTGATGGCGACTCAAAAGCCAATACACTTTGTAGGCGAGTTTGATGAGCAAGGGCCAAGTTTTGACAATGTTAATGAAGATGGTCTAACACAAGAGGAGCTGAATTACATAGGGAATCAGCAGAGGTATCAGCGGTTTAACAACTACAACAGTAACCCAAACCTCTCATACAGAAACCCGAATGTAGCTAACCCTCAAGACCAAGTGTACCCTGCTCAACAACAACAACAAAGCTATGCTCAAAAGGCTCCTTTTCAGAATACCTTCCAGCCCAAGCAACAGTTCAGTGGGCAACAGCACGGCTACACTCAGCAGAATCAAGCGGCTCAGAGTAACAACTTCAAAAACCAACCGCAGCAACACAAGTTTCCACCAGGGTTCCATCCGCAGCCGATGGGTAATCAACAACAGATTCAGGGAACGGGTCAGAATCAAATGGGGAACGACGTCTGTGGGATACTACAGCAACTGTTACAGGGCCAGCAAAGGGTTGAGAGCCAGCACGCGACAATCCAGCAAGATATCAGAGAGCTTAAGCAGAATCAAGCTTCTACATCATCAAGAGGCCCGGCTTTACCAGGTAAACCAGAGCCGAACCCTAAAGAGTATGTGAACGCCATCACATTGAGGAGTGGTAAGGAATTACAAACTCCAACGCCTAAGACAAAGCTCATTGAGGCCAATGAGCAATTAGAGGGGGAGGCAGCCTCAGAGGATGCGTGTAAAGAAGCGGACTTAGAGAAGGAACCGATCAAGGACAAAGGAAAAGAGGTGGAAAAGACAACCGAGCTTGAAAAGCCCTATGTTCCACCACCACCTTATCAACCCAAGATACCGTTCCCAGGGCGTTTCAAAAAGAAAATCCTAGACAAGGCCAAGGCGGTCTTTGAGAAACACTTGGAGAACACGCAACTCACCTTACCCATTATAGATGCTTTCTTAGCTATACCCCAGCTTGGGAAGTTTCTAAAGGACGCGATCCTCAACAAGACAAAGGAGCTCCAGGGTATGGTGATACTGAGCCATGAGTGCAGTGCCATAATACAAAGAAGATCTATACCAAGGAAGCTATCCGATCCGGGAGCTTCACTTTGCCGTGTGCTTTAGGTCACCTGAAGTTCTCAAACTGTTTATGTGACCTTGGAGCTTCTGTGAGCTTAATGCCTTACACGGTGGCCAAGAGATTGGGATACAAAAGTTACAAGCCAGCCAAGATCTCTCTTGTATTAGCTGATAGATCAGTTAGATTACCGGTGGGGTTGCTTGAGGATCTACCTTTGAGGATCGGTGAGATAGAAATCCCCACGGACTTCATAGTTCTTGAGATGGACGAGGAACCATTAGACCCTATCATCTTGGGCCGACCGTTCTTAGCAACCGCAGGAGCCATAATAGATGTGAGAGGAGGAATGATTGAACTACACATCGGTTCCGAGACTATGAAGTTCAACGTGAAGGAAATGATGAAGAAACCGACCATTGGAGGTCAGGTTTTCTATGTGGAGGTAATGGAGGAACTGGCTGATGAGCTCCTTGAAGAGTTGAACGCAGAGGATCCGTTACAAGTGGTCTTAACGCGGGAACAAAGCGAGCACGGGTACTTGAACGAGGAAAGCGAGGTGTACAAGCGTCTTTTGGATCAATCGAGGGAACTTGGAGCTGAGGCAAGGTTTTTGGAGCTCCACACGAGCAGCCTCGACATTCTAGAAAGCGAGGAGTCAAAGGGAAAAGAAGAGACACCTCGGGATATCATGGCCGTGACAACTCATACCGAGGCCGATGGTAAACCACGCGAGAATGAAGCAAAGGCCGAGGAAGCTGTTCTGGGCCAATGCAGCTTTGATACCGATTGGAATGAGGCAGACGCACCCCCTGTTGAGCTCAAGCCTCTACCAACAGGGCTCAGGTATGCATTCTTAGGTCTAAACTCTACTTTTCCTGTGATCATAAACGATAACTTGCTTGAACATGAGGAACGTGCATTACTTAGTGAAATAAGGAAATTCAGGAGAGCCATAGGGTATTCCTTGGCTGACATTAGAGGAATCTCTCCTGATATATGCACCCACAGGATCCACCTAGAGGACCAACCATGTCCTCTATTGAGCACCAACGTCGACTTAACCCGAACCTCAAAGAGGTGGTTAAGAAGGAGATACTAAAGCTCCTTGGGGCAGGGATAATATATCCAATCTCTGACTCTCGGTGGGTATCTCCTGTACACGTTGTGCCCAAGAAAGGTGGGATCACGGTGGTGAAAAACGATAAGGATGAACTCATAGCCCAAAGAACTATAACCGGCCATCGCATGTGCATTGACTATAGGAAATTGAATACTGCATCAAGAAAATATCATTTTCCTTTACCATTCATTGATCAAATGCTTGAACGGTTAGCTAATCATCCTTATTTTTGTTTTCTTGATGGATACTCGGGGTTCTTTCAAATACCTATAGACCCCCGAGATCAAGAGAAAACGACATTCACCTGCCCTTATGGCACTTATGCTTATAGAAGAATGCCATTCGGTTTGGGTAATGCACCGGCCACTTTTCAAAGATGTATGATGCACATTTTCTCTGATCTAATTGAAGAGAAAGTTGAGGTGTTTATGGATGACTTCTCCGTATACGGCTCCTCTTTCTCCGAATGTCTTGCTAATCTTTCTCAGGTTCTCAAGCAGTGTGAGGAGCATAGGCTTGTCTTAAACTGGGAAAAGTGTCATTTCATGGTCCAAGAAGGCATTGTCTTGGGACACAAGGTATCAGAGAAAGGCATCGAGGTGGATAAGGCCAAGATCGAGGTGATGGTGAACTTACAAGCCCCGAATTCTGTAAAAGGAATAAGAAGCTTCCTTGGCCACGCTGGGTTCTATAGACGGTTCATCAAGGATTTCTCCAAGATAGCCAGGCCTTTGACCAGGTTATTGTGCAAAGAAGTGGATTTCAACTTTGATGAAGAATGTGAGGAAGCGTTCAAGAGAATCAAGGAGGCTTTGATCAGTGCACCGATTGTACAAGCCCCTGATTGGTCTTTACCATTTGAAGTGATGACCGATGCATCTGATTATGCTGTAGGAGCTGTCTTGGGACAGAAGAAAGATAAGAAGCTCCATGTGATCTACTATGCCAGCCGCACTTTGGACTCGGCTCAAGAAAAGTATGCCACCACCGAGAGGGAAATGCTTGCCATTGTGTTTGCATTTGACAAATTCAGGAGTTATCTAGTGGGATCAAAGGTCACGGTTTACACAGATCATGCGGCCTTGAGGTACCTGATGTCTAAGAAGGACGCTAAGCCGAGGCTTTTGAGATGGGTCTTATTGCTCCAAGAATTTGACATGGAGATACTTGATAAGAAGGGCATTGAAAACGGAGCCGCAGATCACCTCTCAAGGCTGAGGATTGAAGAACAGGTCCCTATAGATGATGCTTTACCCGAGGAACATCTCATGTTAGTCCGGTCTTACTTAGAGGTGGAGGAAGCCAATACGATCAAGGAAAGAAGCCTTCCATGGTTCGCGGATCTTGTGAACTACTTGTCTTGCGGATTAGAGCCACCAGATATTGATACTTATCAGAGGAAGAAGTTCTTTAGAGATGTGATGAGGTATCATTGGGATGAGCCGTATCTTTACGTGCTTAACAAGGACCATCTCTATAGGCGATGCTTGGCCGAAGAAGAGATCCATCCAGTGCTACAAGAATGCCATGGCTCATCGTATGGTGGTCATTTAGGTGCGTTCAAGACAGTTGCCAAGGTTCTATAGAGCGGTTTCTGGTGGCCGACCATGTTTAAAGACGCCCAGGAAGTGGTCTCGAGGTGTGAAGCTTGTCAAAGGCACGGAAACATATCCAAAAGGAATGAAATGCCCCAAAACCCAATCTTTGAAGTAGAAGTCTTCGACTGTTTGGGCATTGACTTCATGGGTCCCTTTGTAAGCTCATATGGGAATCAATATATCCTTGTAGCAGTGGATTATGTGAGTAAATGGGTTGAAGCGGTTGCATCTCCGACCAACGATTCAAAAGTGGTGGTAAAACTCTTCAAGAGTATCATCTTCCCACGGTTTGGAGTACCAAGAGTAGTCATCAGTGATGGGGGAAGCCATTTCATCAACAAGACTCTTGAGAGTCTTTTGAAGAAGCACGGAGTAAAGCACAAGGTGGCCACCCCTTATCATCCGCAAACCAGCGGCCAAGTGGAGGTTTCCAACCGTCAGATAAAGGCCATTTTGGAAAGGACCGTGAACTCATCCAGGAAGGATTGAAGCAAGAAACTTGACGATGCTCTGTGGGCTTACAGAACCGCCTACAAAACCCCCATTGGAACCTCACCGTTTAACTTGCTCTATGGGAAGAGCTGTCATCTACCGGTTGAGTTGGAATACAAAGCCTTGTGGGCAGTGAAACTTCTGAACTTTGACATCAAGACCGCACAAGAGAAGAGGGTTTTACAGCTTCATGGGCTTGAGGAGATCCGGTTAGATGCTTTCGAGAGCTCTAAGATCTACAAAGAAAGAACCAAGGCGCTCCATGACAAGAAGATACACAAGAGAGAGTTCAAAGAAGGGGACCAAGTTCTTTTGTTTAACTCAAGACTCAAGCTGTTCCCTGGGAAGCTGAGGTCTAGGTGGTCCGGTCCGTTCACGATTCTTGAAGTAAGACCCTATCGAGCCGTGGTTTTGAAAGGAAAAGATGGACAAGGCTTTGTGGTAAACGGCCAGAGGGTAAAGCATTACTTGGCA